CCGAGGGAATACCACCAAGCTAAAGCCTGGAGTTTTGGGGAGAGTTATCTTTGACACCAGCTTTTACTCAGTCTCCATATCCACCCTGTTCAAGTTGTCTTACTGGATTTCTGAGACGTTTGAGTTCTGTTCTATACTTTTTATACTCCTAGAGCAAACCTTGCCTCAATTCCCTTGCTCTTTTGCTTAGATTCACATAAAATTTTTCTAACTGGTTTCCAAGTGTGTGGTCTATGTCAGCTCCATTTATCCTCCAGACTCCTCACTGAGCAGAGCCTAACTCGAGGCTTGACATGGGGGCTGGATCCCATGACCCTGAGATCATGACCTGAGCCGAAAACAAGAGTGGGTCACTTGACAGATTGTGCCACCCAGGCGCCCCAGACTGTTGATCTTGGGGTCATGAGTTCAAGTACCATGTCTGTAGATTGTACTTAAAATAATAAAATCTTAAAAAAAAAAAACTAAAAGGTTTTCTATGCTTAGACATCACATTTATATATATGAACATAATTTTTGTCACATTTGTAGTCATATCCAACATATTATTTTGCTGGGGTTTTTTTTCTCCCCAGAATGTGTTGTGGGTATCTATGTTAGCACATAGAACATAAATACTATCTATATCCCGATGACTCTCAGATGTATTTACATCTTCAGCTCAGACTTATCTTCTGAACCCCAGACTTATAACAGTTATCTGTTATAACTGCCCTGATGTCTCACAGATTCTAAAGATTTTATTTATTTATCAGAGAGAGAGAGAGAGAGAGAGAGCGCACAAGCAGGGGAAGTGGCAGGCAGAGGGAGAAGTAAGCTCCCCACTGAGCAAAATGCCCGATGCGGGACTCAATCCCAGGACCCTGGGATCATGACCTGAGCCGAAGGCAGGTGCTGAATGCACTTAGCCACTCAGGCGCCTCACAGATTCTAATCAGAACTGCTCAAACCTGCTCCTCCCACAGGCTTCCCCACCTCACCATTCTCCCCAGTTGCCCAAACAAACAAAAATCTAAGCCTCCCTTCACCTGCATCCAATCAGTCCTGTTGACTTATTGATGCTGCCTCCAATCTACATCTCAAATCAGCCTGCTTCTCTCTAGTTCTCTGGCCGCTGCCCTAGCCCACCTGGACTACTGCATCACCTCCTAACAAGTCCTGTTGCTTCCATGTGTGCTCTCCTAGCAGCCACTGCCAATGAGCGGCTAAGCAGAATTTAAAAAATAAGGGGCACCTTGTTAGCTCAGTCTGAAGAGCATGAGACGCTTGATCTCGGGGTCGTAAGTTCGAGCCCCATGTTGGTGTAGGGATTACTTAAACAAAACTTAAAAATAAATAAAAAAGTTCTGTTACTTTCACTATGCTTGAGAAAAAAATGTAAATCCCTTATCATAACCTAGAAAGGCCCACATGGCCTGGTCCTTGCCTCCCTCTGCGGTCTCACCTTGGGTGTTCTCCCCTAGCTTACTATATTCTCTCCTCTGTGGTGGCCTTACCCCATTCCCTCAACAGGCCCAGGTGAGGAGGTCCCTCCCTCCCAGGCTTTATGCACTTTGTTCCCTCTACAAAACACTTTTATTCCCCATTCTGCAGCCTGGATACTCATTATCCAGGTCTCAGCTAAAATCTCTTAGAAAGGACTTCTCTGGGACGCCTGGGTGGCTCAGTCGTTAAGTGTCTGCCTTCGGCTCAGGTCATGGTCCCAGGGTCCTGGGATCGAGCCCCGCATCAGGCTCCCTGCTCGGCGGGAAGCCTGCTTCTCCCTCTCCCACTCCCCCTGCTTGTGTTCCCTCTCTCGCTGTCTCTCTTTCTGTCAAATAAATTAAAAAATCTAAAAACACAAATAATGGTTGCATAAGTGAAAAAAAAAAAAAAAAGGAGCCGAGAGTAGGAGTAGAATATGCTATCAGAGGGCAAAAGAAGCAAAGGCAGGTTTCTCTCAGGGCTGCTTTTTCCACAAAGGCTGTATTTTGTTCTTTACTTCTGACCTGTTGCCTTTGGGATCCACTTGCAACTCAGACCAGACATGGACAGGAATGTAGGCAGGGATAAGGATGTGCAGAGGAGGTGGACAAATTGAGGCCAGGCCAGATGAAACTAGAGCTGAGGACTTGGGACCCTGTCCTTCTTCCTGGGAGCTAGCTAGACCCAAGTGGTGGTGGTGCTGGGTGGGCCCAGAGGGAAGGACATGAACGACCTGGTCCCTCCACCCACTCCCCCAGTGGATATCACATAGAGATTAGCATCCAGAGGGTCTAGGAGGAGAGAATCACAAAGCACCTGCAAGTGGATTAGAGAAAGGCCGCTCTTGTCTTGCTCCAACTGGGCACCCGCACATGTCTGTGCTGTCTTTTCCTTGGAACTGGTCACTTTTTCTTCCCATCCCCTCGCTGCTCTTCCGCACCTCCCCAGCCTGCCCCTCTGCCTCCTCGGAGCATCAGCAGCACCCCACAGAGCCCAGCTGGCTTTGGGCACTTCTGGACAAGTAGTGGCTGTTCTTTTCTAGACCTGGGAAAAATAACCAGTGCTAACTCCTCCTGTGAGAAGCCTTCCCTAGCTCCTCCAGACAGGGCTGATTGTTCTCTTCTCTGTGCTTCCAGAGAATATGGGATGTGCCTCTTAGAGAAGTTACTAGTGACAAATCATAGCAAATAGTGCGTTCTTACTACCTAAAAAGCCCCACGCTAGGCTTTGGGGGGCTGGACTTATAAACGTGCATTCTCCTCCCTGGTTGCCCATGTCACTGTGGGTGAGGCCCTCTGGGCAGGGGTTATATTTTATCTGTGCTTGGTTCAGTGGTTCTCTACCCCACCAGCCTTAATGCCCCAGGAATAGAGCAAACGATTTGTAAGACTGTCTTTACCATCTTGGGGCGCCTGGGTGATGCAGTCTGTTGAGTGTCTGACTCGGTTTCAGCTCAGGTCGTGGTCTCGGGTTCGTGGGATTCAGCCCATGACAGGCTCTGTGCTCAGCATGGAGTCTGCTTGAGATTCTCTCTCCCTCTCTCTCTCTACCCCTCCCCTCCACACACACACACTCTCTCAAATAAATACAAAATCTTTAAAAAAAAGACTGTCTTTACCATCTTGAATCTTGCTGATAAAATAACTTACCAACACATGTAATTTTAAAAAGGTCGATATAACACTTTAACTGTAATATAACAGAAAAATAAAGGGAGAGAAATTTATGAAATAAAGTGTATTTCAGTGGATAAACTAGACTTGAGAATATGAGATAGTTGGAAATTTGCACATACCTACAGTGAGAAGAGCTTAGATTTAAGAGAGGATATTCAAATGACTATTGAAAATACTTCTTTATATTGGCTGTCCTGATATAACAACTATTTGTCCATGTAGAATCCCCGAGAGAACAACAGACACAAACACAGACTCATACAGCTGTGTGCTCTCGGTTTTAAATATTAGAGCAGCTTTGCTGTCAGTGAAGTGATTTTCTGAAGTGGCAAACAACTCTTGGTAGACTTCCAAACCAAAAAAAAAAGGCACAATTATCCTTCATTTTACAGAACAGTTGCATTCCTGAAAAGTTCAGTATATCTTAAAATGATGCAACAAGGGGTGCCTGGGTGGCTCAGTTGGTTAAGAGTCTGCCTTCCGCTCAGGTCATGATCCTGGGGTCCTGGGATCGAACCCCATATCGGGCTCCTTCCTCGGCAGGGAGCCTGCTTCTCCCTCTCCCTCTGCTTGCCACTCCACCTGCTTGGTGCTCTCCCTCTCTCTATCTCTATCAAATAAATAAATAAAATCTTAAAAAAAAAAATGATGCAACAAATACTTTCTGCTTAGGTGTAATACCAAGTTAGGTTCCTGGCTGAACTCCTTGTCTACAGCCCCAGGTATAAGGGTCAGGTCTTCAAGGTCAAAGTCTGCCTAAGCACGGAGGATATCCCAAGCCCTGGGTTCTGAGAGTGGAGCTATGTTTCCGGGCAGGACTGGGGTGGCGGAGCCGGAGAGGGAATGGGAGGCTGATGGGAAATTCAGTATTGTCTTCAAGCACTGTCTGAATGCCTGGGGCATCTGGATGCAGCTTTAAACCTTGTTCTTTCTCCCTCAGCCCACGGGGCTTCTCCGTATTCCCCTCGGACCTGAGGCTGGCACCTGGCCCTGCCCTGGACACCAGCTCCTGCCACCAGGAAAGCTCCAGCAGTCCGGCTGGGATCTGAAGCCTCTGCGAACTCTGAATCCGCTGGTGCTCTGGCTTCTCCCGAGGGCGTGGTGGAGACAAACAGCAAGGGGGATGTGCCTGCATCTTGGCTCTAAGTTCCCACCGTTTGCTCAAAACGGTTACATGGGGAGGAGAATGAGGCTCTGAACCTGACTATCCCCTTTTCCAAAATAGCTCTTTCCTCTCGCCCTTCTCACTGCTCTTTCTTGGCCTGCTCAGAGGGTCTGTCTCTCCTTCAACTGCCCCACAAGTAATGTCTCCTTGGGCTGCTTCCCACTGTTCCCAGTTGATTACATCCCCTCCTGTGAGTGGCGGGCTGCTATGAGCTAGCATCTCCCAAGACTATCCTCATAATCCAGAAAAATGGGAGTGGCTCCAGGATCCTGAAGGGGTTGGAGTATTTTCTTCCTTTGAAGAAAGAAGAGCACGAGCGCCCTTTGTGGCGCGCCAGGCCAATGGTGTCCATTTCCAGCCTCAGAGCTGACCCCTGCCCCCCGCCCCATCCTCATCCTCAGAGACCACACACACACACACACACACAC